ATGCCAGAGCATGGGTGAGAAGTTATTGTTATTTTCAAAATAACTCTCTCTGGCATTTCTCCAAAACTTTACATAGTTCATATTTAACTGTCTCCTACTGCTTAGAATTTTGTCCTCTTTCTGTTTGTATATAATATATTTCATTACATTCACAAGTCATAAAATACCAGTCAGAGTTATTTTCAAAATAACAATAACTTCACACCCCTATGCCAGAGTGCAGAGCATGACAGAGCTCGGTTTTTTTAATTAAGCTTTGCTATTATTACACAAAAGAGTGATTTTATGAATAGAGGGCCATTTTCCGAGTGTTTTTCCACACAGTGAATTTTGTATCTCTGTTCTTTTCTTAAAAAATAGAAATTAAACAGAAAACGTTCTGTTATAACCTGCATCCTGACATAGTCTCTCAAATAAAATAAAAACTACTTAGGGCATACCAAAAGTAGTGGCGGAGGTTCGGTAATTCCTTATAAAAAGCTTTAAAAAACTTTGTTTCTAGATAGTCTGATAGAGAAAAGGATGCTCCATTTTTCAATGCTATTTGATCATACTTCAGCTAATATCATAATAATAAAATTTCGACAAAATCTATTTACTTATCATATGTGCGTGCGAACAAAACAGATCTTATAGAAATTTTACTATTATGATATTAGTTGAAGTATGATTAAATAGCATAGAAAAATAGAGCATTCTTTTCTCTATTAGACTACATAGAAAGAAAGTTTCTTAAAGCTTTTTATAAGAAATTATCGAATCTCCGCCACTACTTTTGGTATGCCCTAAGTAAGTCTACAATATAAAGGCTCGCAGAGAATTTTGGGTTGCCAAATGAGTTATTTTTGATCGTTGTTAATTGAATATTTCCGGAAAAAATCATGTTATAGGAATGAAAATTTTATTATAGCCTCTCTACTACACTTCCAGCATATCATACAGATTTTATGTGATTTGAGTGTCCTTAAACCAAGATCGACTTTTAAGAAAGAAGGCCTTAAAACATCACTTGTAAAAACAATTACCTTAGCTTCATTATTAGCTACAACAGCCTGTACAATTGGTTCATAGATAAACCAGACATCAAGTTCAAATGTACAATTAGGAACAGGATCATAATATTTGAGTTTTTGTGAATCGACCAATGTACCTTCGTCCAAATAGGACAATAATTGAAGATGTGCAGGTATACCACATATAATTTCAAGAATTGTTTTTAGTTCACGAACTTTTGTATCAAAATGAATTGTTTGTAATGTAAATCGTTCTCCTGTCGAACGTAAATGAATATTAAGCATTTTATTGAATATTCTGATGACAGGAACAAAAAGAATAACGGTGACATAATGATTGCACACTGTTTGCTTGTCGCGATGGAAGCAGAAAAAATGACATTGAATAGAGGGGGCGCTGACAATCAAGACTCATAAACTTTCTTAAAAAATTATTTTTCATCATGAGTAAAATTAACGATTAGAGAATAATGAATGAAACTTTGAAGAAAAGATGATAATTAACGAATGATATCGACAAGTTAAACACACCTGTCATTAAATCTTTATTGACTTGCTAATAAATTAATATTTATAGAATAGCTTTTTGGCACAAGCGATAATTTAGAATACACTACTTTAATCAAATTTTCAACGAATTATGAGTGTAAGTCGTGTTGTGCCGTCCACACAATCTCAAAATACTTTTTTTCTTCGTTTCATTTTTCTATCAGAATTAATTTCGATATTATTTCATGAAAATCTGTTGATCTAAAAATTTAGTTTCGAAAAGAAATTTAATTTCATATCCTGTATGTATCAGAGAGATATGTGCTTCTCTCTAGTGATTGGTAATTGCCTAACAGCATCTTCCCTCCTTTTTTTCTTGCATTGATTTAGCTTATTCATCTGAGTTAAAGCTTTTATTAAAAGAAAGTTTTGTTATTTTATGATGAATTTCTCGACCATTTTTTTCTTTCCCATTCTATGTACAATATATATATATATATGTAGAAGATATTATTATATAGATATAAATATTTTTTTCGGAAAAATATACAATTGATCACCGAACTAATTAGTACTGAATGAATGATACACAGTTAGTGTTTTTGAGTTATACATGGTAGGTTTGTGGTAAATAATGCGCTTAGCTGAAAACATAATTTATTGATAAGGCTAAGCTAAATAATAATCTCATTTGATCAAAGTGATCCTATTAACGGAATATTCTTATAAAGAATGTCATCTCATAAGGATACACAAAATTTAAAAAAATGTCAAGTAAAGAATACGTTGTTACATACAGCTCAATCATATGATGAAGCAAAAGATTTTGCAAAATCACGGTTCAATGTTTGCCAATGTCGACAATCAGATTTAAAGAATCAAACTAAGTATTCATTTAAATACAATGAATACAGGAAGTATCCTTTATGTTGTTTTGAATTTAAAATCATTGTGCCAGATAACAATATGCATTCTGTAACAATAATGTAAACACTCTATTGGGCTGGTTATTCTATTAAATATGTATTAAATTACGGATAAAACTCGTTGTACACCATTAGGAAAACGAAAAACTCCAGGTAGTCCAAAAAGAGTTCGCGCAGGATTGCTCCGATGAGGTTTTAATATTATCTCTTTACTTCTAGTATTTATTCTGATTTTTTCTGTAATTTTTGTCTCATTTTTTTTTCGTATATAAGTATGAATGTCATTTCTTATATGGTTTCTGTTATTGTATTAATAATAAATTTGGTGATCAATCGTATCTTTTTTTGGTGATCATTTCGCAGCAAACTCATTTTGGTGATTAAAAAAATTCTTACCCTTTTTTCTTTTATGTTGCTTTGAGAGTAACAAGTATGAGAAGAGCAATTCTATCCGTATCGGTAATAGCAATAACAAAACGGGACACAAGTGACATAGCCTATCGTTTCTTGTTTTAAATGTACTATAATCAGATAAGAAATGATCTCTTATTTTGATTGTAAAAATGACTCTATTTTTCTATAGTCTAAAAACATAATTTGATTATTTTACAATTATTAGTTAAAAAAATATTTAAATAATTTCATTTGATTCTTCAAGCTGATAATAATTCAAGAAAATTTTTCTTAGAAGATAAAAATTTTGCATGAAGCAAAAAATTCTCAAATATGCAATTATGTTGAATAGTCAATAACTAAGTCTATTTTTTCTCTTGAACTTGATGAGAATATATTTGTAAATTTTTTGCTTTCGTAATGATGCTCAAATGGTTTACGAGGAGCGACTCAAGATAAATTCTTCATCATTATTGTGAGCTGAGTATTTGCTTAAACATATGTTTGTAAGGATTCGAATTCTTTTCATTGGATTTTAATTTTTTTTCTTTATTTATTTATAAAATATTTTCTAAAATAAAAAAAAGCCATGCAAAGGCATACATCAATGATGAAATCTAGCAAGCAGTTTAATATTTTATTGCGTTTGTTTTGATTCTCTACACAATCACATAGAATTACAAATCTAATATCATTGTAGTCAGCATGGCCGAGTGGTCTAAGGCGCCAGACTCAAGCGTAATGCTTCCTCAGTGAGGTAGAGTGTTCTGGTCAGCGTATGCTGGCGTGGGTTCGACTCCCACTGCTGACACCATTTTTTTCTTTTGCGCGTTCTCTCACTTGTTTTTCTTTTTTTCCTTCTACGTGTTCTTCGATGCAAACAGAACTAAAAGAAAAATCCGGCTTATGTTGTTCGATAAGAAAGAGCTTTCGTATTTTTTTCATACATAATGATGTGTTTCATCTATTTAGGGGTAATATTATATTTTAAGTTTAACTTTCTTTACGCATTAAATCATATTGGTATATTCGTCACACTTATTGGTCGATGAATCAATAGCTGCTCATTTTTCTTTTACTAAAGAGAAATTGAAAAAAAAGCTGCTCATAAAACTCGATCGATTATTGAGTATATTATATTTCACTATGAATTTCTTGAAACAAATATATCATAGATCTGTGTTGATACGATGTTCTAGCTTCTAACAATAAGTTCAAGATGATCTTTTGTTTCTTATGTCGTATGGGAAATTTAGTGAGCATTTCGAACATTTTGATGAAAAACAAAACATTTTTGTTTCGTCTCACATTATTTATTACTTTTTGGTTAGATATAAACAAAAATATCGATTGTAGTTGGATCTCTTATTGCCGTTTATGTCTACACTTATATATGAAATTATTATGTTTTCAATACTTCGATTTGATTTTTTCAAAACAATTTGCTCTATTCGATTTTGATTTTGACAAGTTCGTTTATTAATCTCATCAAACATATCAAATGTCTCAATAACATGTGTCAGTTGAATATCCTAGCCATTTTGTTATTATAACAATAAAGCGAAAAGTAAACATTCGAATCAGAAAGCAGATATACACAATCTATATCAAATATAGTGATCAGTCGAGATTTAGTCAAAGTTATTCGGATTAGTATTCGAGTCAATAATTAAATTTTTCTCACGTATGATCCTCTCAAAATTATCAATCTAATAAACTTAATATCATAATCTGCTTGACAAGTAGTTTAGTGCATTTATAGATGATCGTTAACATTCTTATTTTACAGCTCTTTCTCTTACATCGTAACCTGGTACAGATAGGATACATTTCTGAAATATTCGAAAGTTTTCATTACAACTACTATCGTAATTAATATAAGAGTTGATAATTATTTTTTTTGTCAAGCATTGCTGACAATTGACTTCTAATTAATTAACAATCTGTTTTTTAATCAAAATATTTGGATTAAAATTTATGAAACATTTAACAAAAGAAAAAACTCAATCTTAAAATTCTTCAGTGCTTTTTTGAGGATCTATACTTAGCATGTTACATATAAGAAGTTATGGCAACTTTTCCCAACAAACTTCTGGTTATTACAGGTGTTAAAAAAACCATTTATTTCATAAAAGTTTAACGTTTATTTAAATGGACGAATCATTGAAACGAAAGTAATGAGGTAAAAAATAATGAAGTAAAATAGTACTATTACTGTATGTAATCGCTCACTATTTTCGAGACAAGACCGAAGCACTCAATAAACGATTGACAATGACCATACCAACATTCATCATAAGTCGATCAATCGTGTAAGACAATGTTTGTTTTCGAGAAGAAATTAGTCATCATTCCTATTAATCATTTTGAGTGAGCATATAATGTAGAATATGAATCAGCTGAAGGTAAATGGAAGTAAAAAGCCAAACTATACATCTAAATCTCATACAATTACGTTGATCATGACCGATAAATTTGTATAAGGAATGAGAAAATAGTTTTCAATAGGGATAAAGGAGAAAAGTCCTAACAATGATATAAGCTAACAGAGAAAACCAAAGATTGAGTTGAAAATAATACTGAGAACATAGATTTATAAAATTTCAATCCAACTTTGTCATCTATATAAAATATCTATGCATGTTGAAACAACTTGGAGATAAAAGCCTACTTTAATATCGTGTGCTTGATCCTATGGTTCATGTATATCAGTTGAAATGTAAAATTATTCGAATAGAAAAATTTGCAGAAATAGCTTCATATTGTAAAGTGAATTGAAAGTTCTCGGGTAAAGGAAAAAGCATGTGAACCATTGTTGAGCGCAGAAGACAATATTCTTGTAAAGTTAGAAAAAGAACATGATTGAAAAGATCCAAGTTAAATCTAATGTAGACAGTATTTCTTGAAAATAATCACGGTTATGTAATCAAATAATCGATTTATGTGAGAAATAAAATTCGATTTATTCATATTCTCAAAAGTAGTCTCTGGATTGAGAATTTTATAGATCAGAGTTGTCAATGATCTCGCAACAATCAATATATTGTCGTCTGACAGGCCAAAAGCACGTTGATAGTTTCGTTACCACTGATAGATGTAGTATAGATTCAGAAAGGGA